TTATCTCTCAGGTCAAATACCAATACTTGATTTTTGTGGTTTGAGTTTCAGGGCCTGCTGTAGACTGTAGTAAAGCTGAGTTTTCTTGGATTTGTTCTAGTAACAAGCAATATTTCACAAGAATAAGTTTCTTTTGCCTTTTTGTAGGGGTGGGCTAACAGCACAATTGCACTTGCTGTGCAGCAGAGGGAAGCTGGCTAGTCTTGTCTTGTTACTGTGAATTAAGCTCAAACAAGTTGCGTATTTGTGGGTTTAGGCTGACGGCCACACAGTTTTAGAGTGGGGAAAAAAGCAAGTCTTATACACATGCATTCTCTGCATTTGAACTTAAATTGCATGAGTGAATGGGTTTGGAAAGTGAAATCTTGAGGCTCAAGTGACATGTCGGATGCTATTGCAGTCTGCTGTACACAAATACCAACTTTGGACTACTTTGCCTCAATGTTACATTCAGGGAAACTTCTCCAGGTTTGGGTGTTATCTTAGCAATTGTTCCAACACCAAAGGCCTCCAACCGACATTGTGCTAAAACTGCGTCCAAAGGCTGTTGGTTTGAAGTAGTTGGAGCCACGCTGATGAGCTTACTGGTGTTGCAGTAGCTCTGGTCCTTTCATATAAAGCTTCAGCCTGGAGTGAGCTTTCAAAGAAGTTCCACAAATCCCTCAATTAGGGGTTTTTCAGGAAACGGATTATCTTGACTGCACCAGTACCAACATTGCTACTTGAATTGATCTTAACTTATAAATGGTCTCCTTTTCTTGATGGGTGTTAACATACCACTAAGGCTTTTCCACTTCTCTGCCATGAATAAGTACCTCTTCTTAGAGGAGTTTTTTTAATTGTTGGTCTCCATTTCAGGTGGATAAACTGGATGCATCAGAGTCTTTGAGAAAGGAAGAGGAGCAAGCTACGGAAACACAACCTATTGTTTATGGTAATGCTTTAGTTCATGTGTTGTCAGTAGTGTGTGCATTGCTTTAAAAACGCTTCTTTTCTAGTTACGGTTTTCCCCAAGGATGTCCTTGGGAATGGGAACGTTCTTTGTTTGAAATCAAGTCTTAAAGAAATGTATTCCAAAATACTGGATAAGGTACCACTCTAATCTAATCTTAGCAGCAGCATATGGACTGCAGGATTTAAGGCTGGAACTAGATGATCTTAAGGTCCTTTCCAACCCTAACTATTCTATGATTCTAAGATTGTCCCACCTTATTAAAGAAATACTTCCTAAATGAAAGGAGTCTGGGAACTATATAATTCCAGACTTCTAGCAAGTGTGATATTTGAATCTTGCTCAACTTGCTTTGCCTATCTTGGGTCTTTCATTTGTATTGAGGTTATCCCACTAAATCTAGTAAGAATATGAATTCTATCCAGTGATAAAGGAGCCTTTGCCGTATAGCTGACAACTCTAGTCTCCACACCGTGAAGCAGTACAAGAAGTGTGGAATATTAGCCATAAAGCCACAGGGTGTGATGTTACAAGACCTAGTTCTGAGTACTAACGTGACAAGTAATCCAATCTACACTGTCTTTTTAAGCAAAAAGTCTTGCAGCAGTTGGCTGTGTGTTCTTAAAATGTTGGAATGGCTACTGTAAGGCTGAACTAGTCTGAAACTGTGTCCTGGCCACCCTATAATAACTGTAGACTATTGGGCTGTCTTACTAATTGTTCTAAGTGTCTGACTATCAGCTACTTATCAAAGTAGTGAGTGTGGCTTATTAGTATATTCAGAAAGGTGTCTCTTTGCTTTAGCACTGCAGGGGTCAAGCCTTTGCATCAGGCTCACTGTAGCATAGGGCTCTGGCCTTCAGCAAGGCAGAGTTTAAGAGCTAGACTGACTCTGGGATTGGGTGAACTCACTGCTTAAGGAGCAGGAAGCTGTTCCCTTCTCTCTCATCATCAGATGTCTAAGAACTTAAACTACTTGCCCCAGACTTCAAGGGTCTGTGTCCAGGTACTTCGTAGTATGGTATTTCTAGCCACAGAATCTGTCATCCTGAGGTTTTGTGGGGAAATGCCCAATTTGGCGTCTGAGGACCCCAAACCAGGTCAGTAGGGACTAATGTCTACAAGGAGGTTGCAGGCATGCTGTTGGCTCATCTCTGTACTGAGGAATAAAGATGAATCCATTCTGTCTTCCAGGTCAGCCACAGCTAATGTTGACAGCAGGACCCAGTGTCGCAGTTCCTCCACAAGCACCTTTTGGCTATGGCTACACTGCACCTCCATATGGGCAACCGCAGCCTGGCTTTGGGTACAGCATGTGAGATGCAGCACACGTCAGTTTGGAGCTAGTGTATTTTCTTACTGAAACTTCCACCGTCCCTCCCCGCTTTAACTCATAACAGGGAAAAGCAAGAGTTCTGCCTCGTGTTCTTGTAACCTTTATTTCATGAAGGACTGTTTTTTCTAGCGCAAACTATTTGAATCACTTATGTTAAATCTTTTTTCACATTCCATGTCATTTAGACTTTAAAAGGGGAATAGTTTAAACGACTTTGTTCAAGTGGGCTTTTGCAGGACTGCTTATTACCATTAAGTCTGTTGTGAAGATTCTGATTTGCACTCTAGTGTTACACTCTAATATTGAATCTTAAGTTCATTGTATGTGAGCAGCTTACAGTATGTACTGTCTATTCTAAATGCATTTAAGTCTCACTGTATATTCAGAGAAAGCTAAAGCGAAGATTGTATTTCACCTTGCGAGACCGCTGACAAGAGACAACACTAATCAGCATATCCTACCTTGGTTGGATTGCATAGCTCTAAAAGAATTTAAAATGCGTACAGACAACCTTGCCTGACTTAAAATGAGTAAAAGTTGGTTGTTTTGTTTTTTTTTTTTTTGGTTGGTTTTTTTTTTCCCCCTCTTAACCTATGCAGGTTTTTCCAGTTATGCATATAGAAAATGCTAGTGTCTTTTTGCTCACTCCATATGTAACAGATGACCTTATGTTGTGCTGTATCCTGTGCTTTTGTGGGACATTCCATTCAGGAACAGAGCACCATGATTCCAATCTGTGTATTTACTAACCCTGCCCTGAGGTTTGTGTATGTTGGATATTGTGGTGTTTTAGATCACTGTTTTGAGTGTACAGAAGAGAGAATTCAAGCATATTGCTGTTCAGTTTTGTTTGTGCAATTTGAAATTACTCAGTTTAAAAATAAATTACTGGACTGTGGACATGCTGCATAGTGGTAGCTTCACTTTACTGTCTTCAAAAAGGACCTTCAAACTCAAGCCAAGTATTACAGTGCTAGTACTGGACATGCAAGTGCATACATTCAAGGGTATGAGGGGGCCATTAGAAGAGCAGCAATGGAGACCGGTAGTGGTGTCGTGCACTGAGGGGGTGATACAAGAACATATGTAATGCTTTTTCTACAGAAAGATTATGCCAGAAAGATGAAAATAGCACTTTTTCAATAGTTGGCTGCATTGTGGCCAACTACACCATATTTGACCAGGCGATAGATTAGGACTGTAGTAGGGTGTGTCAGTTAAATTGAGATCATGTTCTAGGTATGTAAGTTGCCTTAAACATATTTAGCTTCAAATAAAATTGACTTAAATGTTTCTCTTTGAATACTGTCATATTTGAGTGTAATGAGCCCTATTTGTGGTAGCTGTAGGCACTTCTGTCTCTTAACCAGGAGCCATCCTCAGTGTCAGGTTCCAGCTGTGTAGCAGCATCCCCTTCCTGCTTGCTCCTGTGAAACCTGCAAGTGAGATTGTGGGGTTCTGTCAGTGCAGCAGCAGTGCCATGTGTAACAGTGGGTGTTGGCACCTGGGAGGAATTCACCTGCCACAGGCTCTAAGTGCCTGTAGGCTTTTGGTCAGTCTGGAGCAGAAATCTATAGTCAGTAGTCTCAGTCTTTGAGAAGTATTATGTCTAAGTAAGAGGTGCAGTATAAACACCTATCCATTCTATTTGTTACGCTTGCTTATGCTTGCATCTCAACTCTGGGTCTGTAAACTGATGGAGGCAAATCCTTCTCTTTTCTTTTACAACCTATTTCACAGGTACTCAACTGCAAGACAGGGCTGAAAGGCTGTAGAAGTGCAGAATTCTCACAAAACAACTTTGTTGAAAAACTGACTCAAAGTCCACCTGATTACAAGTGCAGGGAACCTGCCTTTTACCATGTTAAAGCTACAGTAGAGCTGCAGAGTGGAATTTGCAGAGCCATCATCAGTGTGCTCTGAGTTCTGCCCAACACCATCTGTGATGGAGTGCTTCCTTAACCCCAGAAGAACCTGCTAATCCCAGGTAAAACATGATTTAATTTAGTCCCTGCAGGACAAGCTGTTTATATGAGTTTATTCAGCCTAGAACTTGGCTGAACTGTTTGCAGATTACTGCAAGTGCAGCAGCTGCATGGACATACCCAGAAAGGAGCATGGCTTACAGCTGCTCCCCAGACCTGATTACAGGCTATTAAGGCCTGGGTGGCAGAGCCAGTTTAACTTGATTACAAGCTATTGCTTGTACTCTATGAGTAACTGCAGAGGAAGTTGGCTACAGCTACCCCCAGTTGTATGGGTCAATTTTAACTGCTACAGCAGCTCTTCTTTTCTGAATTGAAGAATTTCTCTTTGAATATCCCTCCTGTTAAGGCAGAGAAGAGGAACCTGACTTTTTTAGCATGTGGGACAAATTCATTTGAACCTCACTAATGCTGCTCTTCAGCCACTAAACCAGCATAAAACCTTCAATTGTACAAGTCTTCAATACACTGAGTTCCTTCTTATGGGTAGCAAAAATGCTGCTGGCTTTACTTTTCTCAACCCCACTGAGCCCAGCATCTTCTTACCCACCTTAGAATAAGGAAAAGAAAAGCCACAGAAACTCATGATTTGCAAATGTGAATCTCTTACAAAACCTGGTTATTTTATTTATAGTGAGAGAAAAGAGGGAAAAAAACCCACAAACCTGGATTTTATCCCTTCAGTACCACCACCCACCAATGCATTCACATTTCTTTGGTCCCCAGTTCAGAAGAGTTTTAGGTGACCAGAAACTTTATCTACTACATCAGCTGGTCCTGGTCCAATCCCAAGGACTGTCTGGGAGCCTGGAGCTATCTGAGTACGACCTGCATCTTGGATTAAGCTCACGGTCAGTCCAAGGTGTTTTGCATCAGCTAGGAGCTGGATCAGTGTCTCCTCATCCGGAGCTTTGAGGACCACTTTTGGTTGTCCGCAGTATTCCCACTGTTTCAAGAGCTCAGGGTTTCTTCTTTGAACTTGCTTGTAGGCAGAAACAGCAGCATGGGAACACTGTGCTGCTACTTTACCCTTCCCCATCTTCAAATCATTACGGACAATCAGCACCATCTTGAACTCCCCAGACTCGCCCATGGCTTCGCTCCCCAGGCTGCTGGCGGGTGCACTCGCCCCCAGTAGGGGCTGCCGGAGGAACCTCCCCCGAATGCCCCATCCCAGGCACACGCCGCAGGCAACTCCTGCAATGACACTGAGGAGCCCGGGCTGAGAGAGAGTATCCATGATGGGAGTTGAAGACTGGCTGTGAAAAGAGGGGGAGAACAGGATTTACTCGAGGGTTTGGCAGCGGGTGAGTGTGCACCTGGTTGTGTGGAGGCAAACTGTGCTGGTTAAAACCACACGCGTTGGGGAAGGATGCTCAGAGCTGCCTTCCTGCGTACGTGGCCACAGCC